TTTTCCAAAAAAAAAAAAAAAATAAGGTGTCCTTATTTGTTATACCAAAAATTACAGGGACATAAATTGCAATTTTGCCTGTTATGTACACAAAAGAGTGAAAAAAGGTGGTGAACAACAAAACAAAATAATGGGTTGTTGAAGGTGACTTTGCTATCCCAAAAATGGTGTGTGTATGAATCTCATTTGTTAAAATGTCTCAACAAATATATTTGATGAAACAATAGAGGGACATATCTCAAAATAATTGGATGCAACAACAAAACTTATCCCCACTCGTTTTTGTCTTGTGAGTGGCGCCAAATTCATCTGCTTCAGTCACTAATGATTCTTAAGCATGCAAGGTACTAAATTAGTCATGGTTTCAACTCTATGTGGTATAGTTTTAGTGTTGAGTATATTTTTGTTTGCCGAGTATGGGGCTTAAACTAGGGTCGGGTCGTCTTCTCGAGGGAAGGCTGTTAGGAGCTCAATCGCTCATCTAGTTGCAATAAATTACAAAATTGAGAAATAAGCATAAACATACCAATCTAAGTTGAGTTTTTGGTTGATTTTTAAACTAGAGTTGGTGGAATTAGGGCCATTGGATGGCCTGATTAAAATTCGGTCTGAAAGTATAGCTGGTCGAAGGATCGACCAGGCGGGCAGAGCATTATCGCTCGATATCGGTAGTACTCTACCTCGAGGTAATCACGGTTAGACCATCTAATAAAAGAGACTAAAATATAAGAAGAAATGTTATTGGGATTAAACTCCCACATGGATAGGGCCAAGTGGCCTAATAGAATCGGTGCGTTTGGGCAGTTCGGGCAGTATGAGTGGGCTGTGTGGGCAGCTTACTCACGCAGATTTGGACAAAAAGATATCATCTCTATTTATAATCAAAGCAACTGAAATAATCCATCGAAATAAAATTTTGGTTCATTTTTTCTTAAAAAATCTGTATAGAAACAAACAGTTAATAAATGATTACCATCCAATATCACTTTATACAAATCAATCTAATTGCAAAAAAAAACTGAACTAATTACACAAAAACAAAAATGAAAGCAAGGATAAGATACAATTTCTCAGGGAAAAGAAAATTAATCCAAACTTTATTCCATAATAACAATCACTTGGGCTGATAATAACATTTGACTTTATTCAATAACATCACTTAGGATGATATATACCATTTGACACCTAGTAAAAATAAAATAAAAACCTTCATTATATAATATTACTTATTATTACGCCTTCATTTCATTCATTCATTCATTCATTCATGCATAGCTAATTATAAAACTTGTTATTAGCAGCCACATTCACCTTCACAGGCTCTTCCTTCTTAACGGCGGCCGTAATTCCAGTAACAGTATTGGGGAGCTTGAACTCGTTTTTCGCAGCGATCTCAGGCTTAACATTGGCAACAGGATAAACTGTAGACTTTTTGACATGGTTCGTGCAAGAGTAAACATCGTCAATTCCCGCACATCCGCTGCAGCAATTTTTCGTGTCCATATTTTTCTCACCTGTTTGCAGCTCTGATAAGAAGTATGTAGAGATATTAGGTTTGTTATGGAATATGCTGGTGCATTTGGTCTCTTGAGAGTGAGGTATTTATTTATAATGATTTTTGATTCATGCATGATGAATATATGGTGGGAAACTGAAAGTGCACATGAATTAATGTGGAAGTTAAAAAGTTAAAACAAGTCTAGGTACTAAGTAAGAGACTATACATTGCATGCAGATTTCATGACATTAACATTTTGGGCAATGTACAAAGAATAAGCTACCAAGTATGTTCGAGTTATTGGCAAAAAATAACATGAGATGCTATTTTTCCTTTAGGCCTGTAAACGAGCCAATCCGAGGTCGAGCCCTTAACGAGCTCAGCTTGTTAAATAAACGAGCCATAAATCGAGCTCGGATCGTCAAGGCCTCGAACTCGAGCCGAACTCGAGTTGTAACAAGCCAAACTATAGAAAGTTATATAAAAATTCTCTTTTTGAGCCTTATCTAGCCGAGCTCAAATGAGCTTTGAATGAGCTCGAGCTACGTTCGTTAAGGCCTCGGGCTCAAGCTGAACTCGAGCTTTAACATTAAGACTAGGTCTTTGAGTCCAAGAAGTTCTTCTTGGAGCTATTGGAGGGCAACTATCAAGCTCATCTCTTATCTCTTCTCTTTTTCCTTTGTCATTACTTGAGGTAATATTTTGATTTGAAAGTACAAGTGGGATAACAATGAGAAACATTCATAGCTTGAAACTGAGCTGCTTCAGCTTCGGGATGGTCTTCATGTATTCACAAACTTGCCACGCATTACTAATGTATATTGGACAAATACAAACACAAGAAAAAGGAAAGAACGACAGTAGTTTACACTACACTACCCCCCTTGAGGGCCATAACACATATCATAACTTAGGACAAGAAGGAACCTATACCGCCATAACCACATATATATACAACAAAAGAATAAGCAAACCATTCGAAGAACAAAACAAAAATAAAAGGACATTCGAGATAAAAAAAAAAAGGCAAAATCATAACTTATTCTCCCTTTCGCCACATCAAATCCGAACGCAAAAAAGGGCATTCGAGATAAAATGCAAAAAAAATAAATAAATAAATAAAAATCAATCATCGCAGTTAAGGCCTCATATCTCAAGCACCCTCCCTCGACACAAACGGGTTTATCCAGACTCACACGAGCGTGAGTATGGACGCCACTAAGATCAACCACCTACAAACGCAAAAGAAAACACTACCGCAATAGATCCTAAATTCCTGAACCCAACCCCTGAACAAATGATAACCGAAATTTCTTTACCCACAAGCAGCACAAACATCGGCCAGTGTGAACTCGCCATCTTCATTCAACATAGCTTCAACATGCACTTTCTCAGGGATTTCAATGTTATCCCTCTGTAAATTTTTCTCATACCAAAGTTGCAAAAACCGAAGCTGCAATGTCAACACATAAAAAAGTGGGATTCAGTTCAAAATGCAAAACAAAAATGTCAATAATTGACCAAAGATGCATCTTAGTTTACCGTTTTATATCGAGCCATATAAGCATCAGAGCCCTTTTCGTATCCCGCCTCTATCAACGCTTGCTCTGCGCTCTAATCAATTAGTTTCACAAAATGAGAATTGGCGATTTCCAAACAAGGGTCCGTCGTCTAAGCATGAAACGTTTAAATTTGTCCCTTTATATTATTTGTAATAATAAACAGAAGAAGAGAAGATATTTACTGCCATATCACCGGGAGAGGAGGTGTCGTAGACAAAGCTTTCCCCGTAGAATTTGGTGCCGTCGTCCTCCTCGTCCAAATCTCCAGCCAAATACTGAAACCCCAATTTTCATTAAAATTGTACCACCAAACAAACTATGAAAGGAAGAAATTTGTAAAATGTACCCTAAGCTGTTCTCTCGTGAGTGGGGCTTTTAACTGTGTGACAATGGGAACTACGAAACTAGGCAACATCGTGTGCACCGCTTGGGTCTCAGATTCCAATTTGATTTTTTTAGTATCTCGATCATCTTGCGCTGGACTTGCACCTCTCTTCTCTTCTGAAACTTGAGTATCAGAGCCCTTGTATCCCTACAAAAAAACAGTCAATTATATTCATCATCATCAACAAGAACAACAACAAAGCAGCTAATTAGAGATGTATTTGCATCAATTAGAGGTGTATGTATGTACATACTTTCAATTAAAATTACCCAAAAAAAAAAAAAAAACGTTAAATTAATATTACCAGCTGACCATCCAATTGAACCTCGTCCATATTCATGGCAAACTCGATGCCCTTGCTTGAAAACGGGAGAAAGACAGACGAAAGAATACCTTCAATTTCGTAGAAAAACCCTATCTATCAAAGGGCAAGACAAAAATACGCATCCACCCAAAACTTTTGCTTCTGTTTGGTTTTGTGGGCTCGGTTTGAGTTTTCTTATTTTGGGCTTGAGACTTTTTATTGCACCTACTTTGGCAAAAATTCAATTTTGGTCCGGTAATTTGTCCATTGTCCACTTTTGATACACTAACTTGTCTCTCATCAAAAAAGGTCGATTATGTTACACATTTCATCAGTTTTAGTACGCTAATCCCGTGGCCCGTGATTACGAGATGCCAAATCAGTTTTTTATCCTACCATGTCAACATCTTATCCCTCCAAGTAGTTTCAATCCCGGTCCACATTATCTCGTAATCCCA